TTACGTTTAATTAATATATATATGTTATTTACCGGCTGCGAGGTCCGGATGAGAAAAACTGTGCCCGAGGTCTTGAAAACGGCCCGAGCCCGAAGGGCGAGGGACGTTTTCAAGACCGAGGGCATAGTTTTTCTCATCCGGACCGACGCTGCCGGTAAATAACGTGTTTATTTTTTATCAGATGTAAAAATTAAATTCATTAAAATTCCAGTGTTGCATGCTTGCGAACTAATTTGAGATCAGTGCAGTTGTCTATTTTCAAAGCGAGGCTGACAAAAATTGAAAAGTTGAAAGATATATTAAAAACACGAATACGAAAACTCGAGAAAACTGGCAAGAAACACACAAAAAGACGTATAGTTTCAGTAAAAATGTACATGCTTTTTTTCATGAATATGGTAGCAGAAAAGCTTTGGAATAAAAACTTTTATGCCTGGCGTTTTGGCTTTGGCAAAATCAGTTGCTCCTGACAACGACAGGTTCATGTTCAGATCCGATCAAAAACATAAAAATGAATCTGTTTTGATTTAATCAACTACTAAAAGGACAATGAAAAAGGTATGTTATTTTTATATTTTTGTATTTTTTCTTGTCGTTTCACGATAATATGCTTGAAAAAAGTGTTTTTAAACACAAACTTTTACTTTGTTTACAATATTTATATCAGTGGAAAATGCATGACGCAAATGGGTAGAGAATATATTCGTGACTTCTTTTCACTGCATTTCACAGCGGGCAGTTGCGTTTCAGAGCGGGCCGGATGCAAAAAACCGGCCCGCTCTGAAAGGCTCCTCAGCCAATCAGATTGCTTCATTTTCATTGATAAAAAGTAAGATGTTTTATCATATTCATAACACAGCTCTTAGTCGGACCCCCTGTGCACTGGCGCGCATTGCGGATCAATGGGTTAACTAAAGATATTGTGAGATTTTTTCGTTAACCCATTAAGCTGCAGAGCTTACCCATTGACGAGTAAAATCGTCTGCATGGCGTTAGACAAGTAAAAAAAGTAAGGCGCCCTGAGGCGCATTGCGGCTCAATGGATTCATGATGTACAGTATATATTTTGTGAGGCTTAGATTTTCAATAGTGCAAATGATATATAATCGATAAAGCTTGAGGAGTCCACATTTCAGTGAATCAAGTATTAAAGAGACAGCTGTGGATAGAGGAAGATATAGTGTAAGTACCTAAAAATATAAGCAGGCTAACTTCAATGTTAATCCAAATCTCTAACCCTATCTCAACCTCATGCTGTCTTGTTAACTCTAACCGTAATCTCTCCCAATCTTCATGTTGTCATGTTATCTCTAACCATAATCTCTCTCAATCTTCATGTTGTCTTGTTATCTCTAACCATAATCTCTCTCAATCCTCATGTTGTCTTGTTCACTCTAACCATAATCTCTCTCAATCCTCATGCTGTCTTGTTAACTCTAACCATAATCTCTCTCAATCCTCATGTTGTCTTGTTATCTCTAACCATAATCTCTCTCAATCTTCATGTTGTCTTGTTATCTCGAACCATAATCTCTCTCAATCCTCATGTTGTCTTGTTAACTCTAACCATAATCTCTCTCAATCCTCATGCTGTCTTGTTAACTCTAACCATAATCTCTCTCAATCCTCATGTTGTCTTGTTAACTCTAACCATAATCTCTCTCAATCCTCATGCTGTCTTGTTATCTCTAACCATAATCTCTCTCAATCCTCATGCTGTCTTGTTAACTCTAACCATAATCTCTCTCAATCCTCATGGAATCTTGAATCTGGAATCTTGAATCTGGAATCCTGGAATCTTGGAATCCTTATTATCAAGATATTATTATTATATTTATGCAACATATTGTTCTGCATGCGATAATTTAATACTTAGCTACAGAAGCAGACCTTGGTAATATATTATCAGTACTATATGTTGTGGAATTTAATTATAATATCTTTGTCTTGATACCAATCTATAATAATATAAACGCTGTGCGCGCATCTAAATAGTATCGTCGGTTTTTGATGAGATCTAAAATGACTAGGCGGGAGGCAACTAAAGAAACCATATACATTTTATATATATATATATATATATATATATATATATATATATATATATATATATATATATATATATATATATATATATATATATATATATATATATATATATATATATATATATATATATATATATATATAATTGCAGTCAGGAAAACCTCAATTAGATGCACTAGAACACCTCGTATTTCGTCAAAAAATACCACACGTGCGAACAATTGCCGAGTTCATATAGTCTATATTCAACGAATTATGGTTTAATATAGCATGTGCTATATAACTCGCATAGTATGAGCCTGATCATTAACCACGTGCAATATAACCTTAATTCGTTGAATATAGACTATATGAACGGCATAGTACAAAACATGGACTGGACCCATGGACTGGACCCAAAATTGGACCCAAAATTGGACTCAAAATTGGACCCAAAATTGGACTCAAAATTTTAGCCAAAATTTGACTCAAAATATATATATATATATATATATATATATATATATATATATATATATATAAATGTACATGGTTTCTTTAGTTGCCTCCCGCCTAGTCATCTTGCTACGCACTTGATTTTAGATCTCATCATAAACCGACGATACTATTTAGATGCGCGCACAGCGTTTATATTATTATAGATGGTATCAAGACAAAGATATTATAATTAAATTCCACAACGTATAGTACTGATAATATATTACCAAGGTCTGCTTCTGTAGCTAAGTATTAAATTATTGCATGCAGAACAATATGTTGCATAAATATAATAATAATATCTTGATAATAAGGATTCCAAGATTCCAGGATTCCAAGATTCCAGGATTCCAGATTCCATGTTTTACAGCTTACCAGAAATGATGCTCAAGTGGGAGAAAAAGTGCTTCACTGAACTGAATAGAATGTCCTTGTGTGTACATCAGTGGCGTGCTGGGTACTATTTTTCTGGGGGGGGGGG